GAGGCGTGGCTCAAGTGGTAGAGTGTTAGACTTGAGAGAGAAAGCTGAAAGACAAACAAGCACCCAGGCTTTAAGCTTAAACCCCATGAGAGAGAGTTGGGGGCGGAAAGAAATAATTAAATCACCAAAAGCTTTAATACAAGAAGAGGATTTTGGTATGAGAGTGGCATCTCCAATGTCTTCAATGGTCAGAAGTAGAAGAAATATATTGCGTTCCTCTCTGGTGCTGGTCCAGTGTGTTGGAAGTACATCAGGCGCCAGCCATGACTCCCCTGCTCCCCCTCCTGGCCTATCATAGTATTGTCAAGCACAGATGGAAACCACCCAATTTCTTATCATTTCTAAAAACTATTATCCTGGGGTTAGAGGAATGGCTCAGGTGGTAGTGTCAGCCAATGAGCAACAGATACTGAGGTTTGAGTCCCGCTACTATTGCATGTGTGTGTGTGTGTGTGTGTGTGTGTGTGTGTGTGTGTCCTGAGGTTTGAACTCAGGACCTGGGCACTGTCTCTAAGCTTTTGTGCTCAAAGATAGCACTCTACCACTTGACTCCCAGCTCCACTTCTGGCTTTTATTTTTGGTAGGTAATTGGTAGTTAATCTTGCTCAGCACTGGTTTAGCTCACTCATGCCTGCTTACAATAGTGTTTTACCTTCTGTAACTTCACCCTTGGCTTGAACCTGCAGGAAAGAACCAGGGACTTTCCTCCCCTGAGTGAATAAGTGGTGGTGGGGGCTTTCTGCTTTAAAAGGGGCCGTGAGACCAGACTGGGCACTGAACTTTTGTGCGCACCCAACTGCGCAGTGTATTTCTGGCCGGCAATAAAAGACTTTCTTTTGGTTGTACTCTGAGTCTGTGTGGTCTCTTTGGGGGGGTCTTCCCCTCAACGTTCTGGAGGCCCTAGCGAGATCCCAGGAGACAAGACCCCAGACAACCCCAGGTTGTCTTGGCACAGGGAGATAGAGTGAGTCGATTCCTAGGGGAGGCACCCCTTGGAATGCCCAGCGCCCCAGGGACCATACTCCTCTCCTCCTTGCTGCTCTCGAGGTAGCACCCCAAATTATTATTTTTCTTTATGTTTTCTTTTTGAATTGAAAATGTGATGAGCTGGGGGGTTAGTTACGTAGGTAAGACAATAAGTCTATTTGTTTTTAATCATCATCACCCCATCCATCTTTATCTCCTACTTATCTCTCCCTAGCCCCCACCCCAAGTTGTAATGTTCACATCCCACATAATGTCCACTATCGATGTTGCTGGGGTTCATCCGTTGTTCTG